TAATAGTCTGACGCTCCATCTCGCAAATCATTGAATTATATTCCCTTTCAAAACAAAGACAGATAACCGTTCGATGAATTTGTTAAAAGAAAGAACAACATTAAATTACTAATCATCTCATCTGGCATAAAATCACATACTTGGTGATATTTATTATGATTTATCGTGAGTTAAGATAATAAATAAACTGAATCACTCTATCTATTAAAAAAACCGCATCAAAATCCGTTGCGTAGCTTTAAAGATCTAAGCATACATAGCTGGGATAGGCAGACGATGGATAGCGACTTTGTTTTACACTATGTAGTGATATTTCAAAGTAATGGACACTAATATCCCAAAGATCAAATACTATCAGCTCCACCAAAAATCTAAAACAATCATTCTACATGCACTTTTACTGGTTAGATAAAGATACATAATATCCTCAAGGACATTCACGAAAGAAGACGAACTTTAAAAACAAAAAACTAAAAAACATTTACCTAAAAATACCACCTACCATTTAAAAAATATGATCAACCATTACGCCATAATGAGTCTACGGTATTTGCACATAATTAAGCATTGGTTCATTACATAAGAGTTGAGAGGAAACAGTGCTATTTACTTTGTATAGGTGTGGTTGTAAAACAAAGATATTCTTTAAACAAGCCCCGTGTATTGACGGACAAAGATAAACAGACAAATGAGACAAACTTGACTGGTTTAGGTCAGTTCAATTTGGAAGTATGTCCTTGAAATTTTAACGTCTTCTTGCGTAATTTTTTCGCAGTGATGTGGAACGTTTGTCGCCAAGCACGTGGATTTGATGTGCACGATTTGTTTTTTATTCGGGACTAACCAGGAACACCTATTCAGTAACAAAGATGATTAAGCTGATCTCTGGCCTTTTTGCACCGTCTTTACTGTATTACTTTTTTTGTGTGTTATTGTACTTTGTGACGGTGTGCAAATAAACAATTTTTCTTTCTCTCTTTCTTTATTAATCTTATTTAGACACCATTGACAAACAGTGGATTAAAGCGTACGGACTTGTATATTAATTACAAGCTACTGAGTCTCAAACAGAAACGTGCAGGTTTAAATATATTTTTAATTCTGTAATGCTGGTTCACAATAATATTTAACTGATCTATAAGTATAACCCTTAAGTATAGTTCTGTCAACACAAATTCTTTGGAAAATTACAGCGATGGCACGATATTTTATTTGATTTACAACTGATAATTGAATACCCTTTCAATATTCGGGGATCAATGAAATTGAACAAACTTCGCGATTTTGGATTTACAACTAGTCACAGGCTTCAAAAAGCTGACGACGCGGCAACGAATCTATAATATACCTAAGCCATAACGATATAAAGGGCTCGTACACAAAACTGCATGCGATGCGAATTCGCAACGCAAAAAATTACGATGTGAATTGCTGCGATGCGATTTCGTGCGACAAGGCGTCTTCCAGGTTGACCATACCTTCCACGACCGTCAACCGTACTAAACGTATTTTAAATTGAAAACTAGGTCGTGGCATGGATCACAAAAAGAAGTGTGCACTTATATTATTGCTTAAGATACAGGAAAAAGAAACAAAGAAGATTTGGGAAGATAAGATTTGGATGCGCGATGCAAATCAACTTGCACATCTTTGCGATGCGACGTCGCATCGCAGTTTTGTTTCGTACACAAACTAAACACCCATTTCCACTATAAAGACCGTAAAAACAAATTGAGGTCACAAAAATAAAATTTTATGGAGTAAAACATACGCAATATTTAATTAGGCATTACCAATGTAACCACATATTTAAATGTGGCAACATCCACATGGGATGGTAATGTGTCATTTTGTGGGCACTGATGGCCGTTTACCCACATTATTTTGTGGCCCTGATGGTCATTTACCCAAATTGCTTTGTCGTTTCCCAACAGTTTCCATGTGAATTGTCATTTTCGTATGTGTTCTCTGTAATAAACTATGGATGATTGTACAGTATTTTGGTATCCATTCGATTTGTATAGTCGCCTGTTCTTATAACTTAAATATATTTGTTGGTGAGATATGGTTACCTATTGGCTTTTCATATAAGGTTCATGAAAACTTTATCTTTTGCAGCTAAATCTACAGACAGACAGGTTACGTAGAAAGTGCTCCGGGAATCTAAAGTCTATAAAACTGCTACTAGAGTCTCTATAACAATCAATTAGTGAACGGTTCTAAATAAAAATACATTTGTTTCTGATCAACTACACTAATATTTTCTCACTTGATACTAGCTTAAACCAATATTCTAATCTCATATGTATCCATAATAGCAAGAATTTCATAAACATTTACCCTCCAAAAAATAAGTTACTTAAATGTTTACCAGGAAAACAAAAGCTACAAAATAATATTCAATGAACTATAACTTTTAGTTTTGTATGAACACACGAACGCCTACACGAAACAGCATAACTAAATATTATGTTAAATATGATATATTGTTTTCCAAGCGCAGTGCAAATAGTAGGCGTTAGTGGCACGCCTTTTATAAGTAAGTATTAGCGTACAAATAAAAAAGGAGGTACTATATTCTTTATGTCCAATTATACTATAACGGCACGGTCGCGGCGGTGGCTGGGCAACTGGCTGCCGCACAACGTGTTGTGGGTTCGATTCCTGCACGATGCAACTCTTTGTGTAATCCACAAATTGTTGTTTCGGGTCTGGGTGTCATGTGTCTGTGAACTCGTATGTTTGTAAACGCACCCACGACACAGGAGAAAATCCTAGTGTGGGACTATAAAAATCTACTTATCAGAACCTAAATGTACCTTATAGAGAGTGAGCCTATTATCAGCCAATAAATTGTTGCAGAAATTTTGGCTTTATGTTACTACTGAAAATATTTGAAAACCGAAATCTTTTCTACACCTGATCAGTACCAAGACTATTTCGACAAATACTGGCAAAGGCCAGACATAGTAAAAGAGATAGAAATTGACACCAATACCTCCTCCAAATAACCACCTCTACATAAGATTAGCCATAATCTTCACACTCTGTAGATTTGGAGATCACCCTCTTAAGAACTTGGGTTTATCAGAACCTACTATGCAGCGTCTCTATCATATGAGCAGTCTCTTAGGCCTACTGTCCATGATGCGTCATTTAACGAAGTAAAGAAGGAAAGAAAGAAAAAGGGATTTATTGGAATTTATGCAACTTTTTTTCTTTTTGAGGGCAAATATCATCCAATGGTGGCATTGGATGACGCGAGAGAGCATGTCAGACTCTTACTGACTAGAAACCACCCCATTCCTACTCTTACACTTCGACCCGAAGCCCTGGTAACTCGTTAAGTCATCCGCAGCTCCGGGAATACATGCAAACTACAAATGACAATAGGCCGTCTATAAGTGACAAATGCTGGCATCTTGCTTAGAAACAATGAAAACTGTCCACAAAGCTACATTAGTAGGCCGCCTGTTACCATTTATAGATTGGATGCATTCGCCAAATAGCGTGTTGTGGACTGAAGGCCTCAGTCAACTCTCACTAGACCCACGGAAGACTTGTGGTGTGGCAAAGATATTTTAATTATGTCATCACGGCACGACGAAACAGAATCATGTTTAACCAAACAAAAGTGCGATGGTATGTAAACCACATAACTTTCTGTACCTACTAACATTGCTTTGTACTTTTAGAAAGTTTCTCCAAGCTGGTGGCTACTGATACCATTGATCTGTAGACCTAGTTCGTTTCTTTGTTGTCAAACTAATATATTTTGTGGGACAGATATTGAATTATTTTTTATTTATTTAGTCTCTAATGTACACAATAGCACATAAGATGAATTTAATGCCATATGGCATGCTCTACCAGTCAACCTTAGGGTTTAAGTAGAAATTTATCTCGAAGTACGTCCGCTTTTTATACCTACGTGAATATTTGTACCTATTTTCGAAAAACACTTCTTTGAACATGTTATAAAAATAATAAAGTAACAAAACATTAAAGTCTCAAAATTACTTGAACATGCTTATAGATCCATATAGATTGCATCCACTTTGGTCAGCTCTTATTGATCGTAGCGTGATGTTTTGTAGCCTATATTCTTCTTCGATAAATGGACTATCCAACACAAAAAGAATTATTGAAATCGGACTGGTAGTTCCGGAGATTAGCGCGTTCAAACAAACAAACAAACAGTCAAACAAACATAACATAACATCACGCCTTTTATCCCCGAAGGGATAGGCAGAGGTGCACATTACGGCACTTAATGCCACTGTACAATGTAACACTCACTTTTGACTATTTTTATGTTATGAGTCCCATGTAATAGGGGGTGAGCCTATTGCCATATACCGGGCACAATTCCAGACTCTGTGCTACTACTGAGATTTTCTTAAAAAACCCAGAATACTTTACCCGACCCGGGAATCGAACCCGAGACCCCTTGCCGCGCAATCGCACTTTCGACCACTCGGCCAACGAGGCAGTCATTGTCTTTAGTATTGCTGATGTATTTAGGCTGTGGTGACTGCTTACCATCAAACGGCCTACGTTGATTTGTCGTTAGGATAAATAAATAAAACGAATAACAAATTAAGCATTTTATTTACATTTTGCGTGACACAAACTTTTAACTTACATTAATTTACAATAACGTAATTTAAATTACCGGAAACACCTTATTTTAAATTAATTTAGATATATATTTTTTCCTTTTGATTAGGTTTAATACCTCTATTAGCAGTTATAATAACAATATTCTATGAAAATGTTAAGGTACCGAAGAACTTTATACAGCCTCAAATCAAAAATCAATAATAATTTTAACAAATGTTATGCAACTATTTTTATTTAATATAGTTAAATCTATATTATGTTTTAACAAAGCAAACAATCATAGTGGATATCTATCATTTATGACAGAAATATGCAAATATAATTACACCTGTATTTATTAATAATTAATATTATTGTTTATTTTTTACATTTGTGGCTTATCGTTCAATCATGCGCAGGCGCAAGGGTCCGTCCGGTGCGTACATGAAGGTGACAGCGTAGTCGAGCGGCTCGTGGTGGTATTCCAAACGATATCGACGGATTAACTGGAAATAATTACAAGGTTTTTTTTTATATTCATGGAATGTAACATAACCTAAAATTATAAAAAGAAAAATAAGAATATACACACGGCCACACATCAACCTATACAAAACCAGTTTATCCTGGTGTCGCGTCGCATCATCTTTCCGCACATTAAACGTTCAGTTTATACTGGTTATGTAAAGCTCGATGTGTAGCCGTGTGTACCAGAACAGAGGCATATTGCGTGTACCAAGAGCATTATCCTCATTATCAATCAGCAGAATTTCCGCCGCTTTCTCTATTTTTCTCCGAAAATTTTTAAGAACCAGCTCCTCTCAAGTAGCCTCGTTGCTACTTTAGAAAACACCAAACCAGACACCAACATTGTTAATTTTTTTTTATATAAAATGAAATCCTTTTTTAGAGCTAAAATAAATTACGAGTACCAAATCATGACCATACCATCATGGCTTCTAAAACAGAATTACGAAGACACTGAGAAATTATTACCCAACGATAAGTAACATACCACAGTAACACACGACTTATTCATAATACTCACTCACTAATTTTAAATCTATTATTACTTGTTTAAGTCATAAATGAAATATCTATAACATGTATATGGTTGCATGCTCTTTTTGTTTCTAGTTTTTACTTTTGGTCTATTAGCCTTACGTAAGCTTTTGTTTTTTTTCTTAAGTTAAAAATACGGTCGACCACTGACTTCCAACATACAGGTCTGCCTAGTTTGGAAATCAGGGTTTAATAATTAATTTGCACTACCACTTCTGTACCTTAGGTTTACACAAAGTAATGTACAAATCCATTGGTGTTCAATAAAGAATTTATTTATTTTTATTTTATTTATTTATTTACCTTTGCCAAAAGAATTTGTATCTCCAAGTCAGCAAATCTTCGGCCCAGACAGATGCGGGCTCCGAATCCATATGGTAGCGAGGCGAAGGGATGCAGACGACCGTCACTCTCCAGCCACCTCTCAGGTTTGAACTCCTCAGGGTTGGAGACAAACTGGGACATGTTACCCGTCACGATTGTGGGGAATACCACTTGAACCTAGAAAATTTGAATTATGATTTTTTGTAGACATAGGCAACAAAACACAACATAATATCACGTGTTTTATCGTCGAAGGGGAAGGCAAAGATGCATATTACGGCACTTAATGCCACTGTACAATGTAACAGCCACTTTTCACTATTTATGTTATGAGTCCCATATAATAGGGGGTAAGCCTATTGCCATATATGGGGCACAATTCCAAACTCCGTGTACTACTGAGATTTTTATAAAAAACCCATTAATACTTTTTATTTTTATAGAACCTAGTAGTACTCGGGAATCGAACCCGAGACCCATTGCCCGACAATCGCACTTGCGACCACTTCGGCAGCGAGGCAGTCTATGAAATAGGCATCCATATTAATAGACTACAATACATCACACAAAAGGACATCGTGGTTGCAACATTACCACCAACACCAGGTACTGACGAGGTGTTTGTTTTTTGTAAATATCGGATGTAATGTGTTTTTGCGATCAATATTCTAAAACTTACGCCTTTAGGAATATGGTAGCCACAAATGACATCATCTTCTTGTAGTGTTCTGCCGTTTCCGATAACAGTAGAATACATTCTGAAATATACAATTTTGTTTTTAATCATGTTCTCGCACAATCGAACTAATAAAACTATGTAACTGGAGAATTTATTGTGAACCTGATTGAAAACGAGTAACCTATGGAGTTTCTTGCTCGTTCTTCTCCATAGGAATCTACATCTTGGAATGAGCAAATAGTTTCACTTTCAATTTTTTTTGTTGACGTTCAAAAGTGCCTTCCTGGTCTAATTGATATAAATGATTTTGACTTTGACTATATTACTAGAGTTAGCTAACAATTTAATATGAAACAACAATAACCACCTACTTAGTAGCTATTCGGAATGTTTACCTAAATACTTCTCTAACAAACGCCTTGGTATAATGCAGTTTATCCAAGTCCGCGTAACTCAAAGGCTTGCTGGGATCAGGTAGCACTCTCCTTATCTCCTCCGCCATCTTCTCCTGTTGCTTCAATCTTGTCGCCGCTTGGTACAGGATTGAGCAAACTGCCATTGAAATCTGGAAAATAGACAAGAGTCTTTATAAATCCCATCAAAGTTTCGACTGGTTGCGCTAAAAATTATTTAGGAGAATACCTTTATAATTTCTTTGGGCACAATGAAATTGGACTATCACAACATAGTATAAAACAAAGTCGCTATCCGCCGTCTGTCTGGCCGTATGTATGCTTAGATTTTTAAAATTACGCAACGTATTTTGATACGGTTTTTTTATTAGATAGAGTGATTTTCAAGGAATTTATATGTATAATACCTACATACATACGTGCGAAGCCGGAGCGGGTCGCTAGTATCTTATACAAGACATCACTGCCATCTATCGAACCAATAGACAAAGACCGGGTTTTCGTCTTCAAAAATTATGCATCCGACCAAAGTTATCAAAAAAGAACACCTTCATGTAAAAGCTCTCAAACGGACATATACCTAAGTATTTTAAATAACAATATTGTTACCGTATCAATTCCAACTAGAATAAGATCAAGTGCCATGATCGTAGCGATCTTTGGATCTCCCTCACTTCTCAGAACACGCTCCAGAAGAGACAGGTCGTTCTCTGAGGTAACTTTTTTGGTTTTTAGCCGTTCCAGAGCTTCATTGATGTATTTGCTGCAAAGCCTAAAATAAAAAAATCAAATCAGTGAGTTTACTGAAAGCGAAACTCTAAGAGGTAAAGAGAAACATATAGACGACAATATTGAACTAGGAATAAATTAATGTAGGTATACTTACTCCACAAAGAAGTTCATATTATTAACATATCTGGTCCAAAGTGGAGTCGGTATGTATCTCCAATATGGCGCCTTAAGTTCCAACACAGCAACATTTCTAAGCGCAAATTTTGCCGCATCAATTATTCGCTGTGTTTCTGAATCGCTGGTCAAGTCCGAAGACAAACAACCCAACCGCGTATCGAGGGCGACGCGGCCGATACCTGTGAATGTCAAGAGATGGCGTTGTTACTTTTGATTATATTACAAAAGATGGCAGCACAACATCGTATTATAGTTGCCCCTGACCAAAAATTTATTCTTTGTTTAGCAACAAAGTAGAAATAATTACACACTTGTGTGTCATAAATTGAATTTTATAGGCTAAATAATATTTTTTTCTAAATTAACTGATTATGTTTAGTGTAGCGTCATGTTGCGCTCGACCGACTAATTAATTAGATCAGTTAGTAAGGCATGATTGGATTTAACTACGTATTTAACTGCAATCAGATTCCTGATAACCTAAAGATCATATCGTCGGCGACATCATCGCTTACCACCAGGCGAGATGCCCACCGCAAACGTCAAGTATAAAAAAAAGTTATTATGATTAAGCATATTATAGGCAGATTTTTTTAAACAGACAATCTCAATCGTTATCTAACTACGAAATTGAGAGCAAAACAAAAGTTTGAAAATGATAATAGTCAATTATTAGAACAGGTAGTAATTATTCAGAAAATAGAGAATATAATGTATATAAATATTAAACGGAAGAAATAATTGAGTTGAAACTCAAAAATCTTCACCAATGTTTTTGTATAATTCCACACTATCGTATTGGATTAGTCTGTAATGGTAGTTGTTAACTTTAAATAAATAAATAAGAAAATTTTCTGCGAATTATCAGTAAAATAATTAAAGACAAAATAGATAGGAACTTCCCAATCTATTGTTTTTTAAGTATTTTACTTAAAACACTTGGTAAACCATATCTAATAAAATAAGTAAGTAAATACATACACTCTAGCGACCACCTATGGATATCATTATCGAACTCATGAGGAAGGTCTCCATTCTCATCGCGAGCATTCTCCATGTACTTGATGAAGTCTTCTGTCACCATCTCTATGGGAGCCACGTACTTCTTCACCGTCTGTGGCTGGAGTATGGGACGCTGGACTTTCGAACGGAAACGGCGCCATTGATCTCCGTGACTATAAATAATAAGAAAAGTAATTATAATACGAGTATGAATTTAAGTGTGAGAGAGCCATGCTTCGGCACGAATGAGCCGGCTCGACCGGAGTGATACCACGGCCTCACAGAAAACCGACGTGAAGCAACGCGTGCGTTATGTTTCGTCGTGTGAGTCAGGTTATCGGAGGCCCAATTAGCCTCCCCTTCCCCAATCCCTGAATTCCCAACAATCCTCAAACTCTTAATCCCCAAAAAGCCGGTAGCGCACTTGTAACGCGTCTGGTGTTCCAGGGGTCCGTGGGCGACGCCGACTGCTCACCATCAAGTGATCCGTCTGCTGGTTTACCGGCTTATGACATAAAAAAAATGAATCGTAGCAATTGGCGTTCCATAATCTTTACCTGTCCCATGGGAAAAAGGCATGAGGTTATGTATGCATGTATGTATGAGTGTAATAAAATCATCTATAAAGTAACAAGTATTGTAAAATTTGGCAAAGCAAAAGTACTTTTCAAATAATGTGATCATGAAGCTACAATCGTAACTGCACAAAATTGGGTAATGGTGGATGGTGACCTCACAACAGATAAAACTTTAATCAACCGTTTGAATAGTGCTGAACTTTGTGTAGCTGTTGAGTATTTCGACATTGTTAAAGATAATATTGTATCTATTAAAGATACTTAGAAGACACAGATTTTGAACTCAACGGACAAATCTGAGATTTACCAGAAATACTAACTTGAACAAACACAGGACCAACAATTTAGAAGAAAATATAATTTAGATGAACATAAAATATTGTACTAATAATATTTGCTAAATAAATATTTGATTTGGTCTTTGCTCTCATAATCCTATTTGCTTCAAACAACAAAATGAATAGAAAATATGTTAAATACCTCAATGGACTTGAACGATGAACTGCTAGACCGTTAATGTGTGTTCACTAGTATTTGTAGTGACAAAAGAGGCATATCATTTAATAAGGCTGATAATTGCTAACATAATTTAGGTCATTGAACTCATTCAACTTAGCACTCAATACTACCTTATGAAAAAATCCCGAATACCTTATAGGAATTTACACTTTTTTAAAGAGGGAAAATTATCGAATGACTGCTCCCGCCTGGGTGAGGCGGGAGGGAGTGTCAGACTCTTACTGACTAAAAACCACCCCGTTCCTTCTCCTGCACGTCGAGCCGGAGCCCCGGAAACCCGTTAGATTCTCCGCGACTCCGAATCGGTATTGGCCCTGTTGGATCCCATCTGTGGTGGTCTGATGGCTCTTTGAGACGCGCGCGGTACGCGACGTACCGAACTTTTATTTACCTACGCTTGCTTGCTTTTTAAAGCCCAACGTGGTGGCGTGGTAGATCTTTGAATCTAACCACAAAATAATAAACCATCAATAGTTAATTAAGTTCCCTAATGTATTCATTTTACTTTATTAATATAGTAATATATTCAACACATAAAAGATACTTAAGATGAAACAAAGCAAATAATGTATTTGCAAATGTAAAGCTATAAAACCTAAAGGTGAGTACTGACTGACTGGTGGAGCGTAACATTTGCATATTGATATTATGCCGAGTTTCAGAGACTGGTACTATAGTGAGCTATGTTGTCTCGGCTTTAAAACCAAGAAACAATCAATACTTTTTCACAATTTTTTATATGGATATCTATATAAAAATTGTGATTTTATTATATATTTTTATAGCTCAAACCTATGGCAATTCTTTATAATGTTCTATGTGATATCGTTAATAAAATATCGATCTATAACCCTTACACCATTCCTTAGTTATGATTTTGATCATAAAACAATTGTTAAGAAATAATTCAGGTACCTAATCATTAAATGACTGAGTAGGTACGGCAGTTACACACCTTTAAATGTGCATTCCAAAGACTATGTATACACTATAACTATACGGCAACGATGACGAGGAAATGACAGCATAACTCCGATGAAATCGTCTTTGGAATAAATATGTGTAATTGAAGCGCATGCGTGAGAAAATGCGACGAACACGATCACACTACGCACGATATACATTGGTCTTGGACTTAGACCACCCTGTCGAAGAACCTTACGGCTTACCGGGACTCCGGCTCGACATGCAGGAGAAGGAACGGGGTGGTTTTTAGTCAGTAAGAGTCTGACACTCCCTCCCGCCTCACCCAGGCGGGAGCTCGATGATTTTCCCCCCTAATAAAAGGCCTACCTCCAAGATGCGCCATTTGATTATTGCATAAAACCCGTGAGATAAAAAGTGCTTGTGTTACTCCAGGTCACTATCTACCCCTATTCCAAATTTCATCCCGATGCCTTCAGCCCATTCGACGCAAATGCACTTACAAACTCACACTGAATTCTGCAATTCCCTACTACAATGATCAGGAAAATTTAGCTAACTGCAAAAGACTAAAGATGTGATCATAGTTCTAGTACCCCTGGACTTTATCCAATATCCTTCGTTCCAATTGCATACATAACACCTGATCAACACGATATTGGCTATTTTCTATGCATATCGCGTTCGGTTTGCATGTGTGGCACGATAATGGATGGACCTGCTTTATTTTTTCCTTAACAAAAAAAGAAACTATTTAGCGTTGACGTGACCAGGGATTTTATGTGGAATTTCTATCGTTTCACTGAATATGTGATTTTGAGTTTAGATTTTTGCGTCTGATTTTTTTACTTTTCCTTTTCATTTGCTTTGATGACATTCGCGTCCCTAGAGGCGCTATAGTAGTTTAAGGTATATTGATCAATAGAAATTTTCCTAATGTCAATTCATTAGTCATTAAACTTGTGACAGCTGTCCTGATTGAACTACATATTTGAACTTACCAATGCCATCTTTTGAACTCAAAATTGTGTGTAAACTTTCATTGTCGTTTCATTAGCCCGAACAGTATAATACGTGTATTAGGTACACCACAACCACTTCGAACTACAAGTAAAAGGTTTTAAACTAGATTAAACTGTCAAACACCAAGCGGTCACCGGTGACCGCGACCTATTGTTCTTTAATTGTGTCTATAAAACCGGTACTCGACGAGTTAAAAACAATATTTATGAACCAATTTTTTTAAGGGGTAAAATCATCGAATGTCTTCGCCCACCTGGGTGATGAAGCGAAATGGAGTGCCGGACTCTTACTGACTAAAAACCACCTCGTTCCTACTCCTGCACTTCAAGCCGGAGCCCCGGTAACCGTTTACGTTCTCCGCGGCTCATTTATGTACCATGTTTTATTGTTTATCTTTGTAAAAGTGCCGAAATATCGGAAAAACAAAACAAATATTTAACATGATAAATATACATCACTCCCCTGTGATAGTGATGCGGACGAATACTTTGACGCCTAAATTAAGGGTATAATTTTTGTTGTTTTCTTTTTTTTTATTTAATAGTTTAGTTGTAGTTAATTTTAAGTTGTAAATATTTATGTAGTTATATAAATTATGTACATGAAATAATTAAAATTAAGTGATACTGCAGGCATCTTACACTGTTTTAGTTAAATCAATATTAATATCTGAGATGAACCTAGTATTTAGTATAGAGTAACCTACAACCGTAAGTTCGCTTGTGTAAAACATATTATGGCATTTGTACACAGTAACTAAGCGTTAAATGTCATACATACAAAATATGTTTAGTATGCAAGTACGTTGCAAACTTCGTATTAATCGAGAATACCTATATTGCGTATGTTGCTGACCTGACCTTTCTTTTGTAACGAATATTATTAACTTTTTAATAGACTTACATCATTAGGAAAACTTATAGTCACAATTCATTTTCGTAAACTGTTATGGTATGAGTACATTCATTTACAATATTATTGCTATTATTACAAAGCGTAATATTTTTTTATTGTAATATTTTTTTATTGTATTATTAATAAATATTTATTAGTAAGTAGCTCTTAACTCAACAAATCAACAGAAATGTCAATGAACTTTACATAAACAAAAACAGCTTAAACTTTCTCTTGTTTGCGGAAGACATTAGAGAAACGAGCGCCAATCTTTCTAGAAACTTTTCTATATGGGAATATGACACGTTTTTGTCACTGTCACCGTCAGCCACCCAGCTGTTTCCAAGTTCATTGACTATTATTTTGATTCGCTTTAATGCAATCGGGTAGGAGAAATGATTTGACCGTGCTCTGTTTACGGAGTGCCAAACAACCTGCAGTAGCCTTTATGACCATATAGTAAAGTTTCAATTCCGTTGATTATAACTCATTTTGACTAATAGCTTTGAATCTCGTCCCTGTTATTTATATTTAACTCATAAAAATAGTTCGGGTTATTTCGGACTTTGTGGCAAACCTCCCGTATGTAGAGGAGGCCCATAATCCAACAGGGGAATTGATGATGTAAACCATTCAAAGACAGCCTTTACTTTGACTTGTATCCATTTTAAATATACAAAACACTTCTACTTTTCTTTATTCATGCAAACTGAATCATCACACAACAAAATACCACAGAGAAGTGTTAAAAAATAAGTCAAACACGTCTTCCTGAGATAACAATGATTCAATTCTTCTGTACATAGATGACTTGTTTGATTTGAATGTAGGTAAGAAGTAGTGCTAACATTCCTGTGGTTTACTTTCAAGTGTACATCATTATAATTTGAAAGACATCTATCGTTGAAAAAAGAATAGGGTAGATGCCTAATTTTTATTTTAATGTCCGTGTGGTAAATTATTTTAAATCATTAGACACGTATTTTTTTATTTTCTTACAGAAACGAATACTTTCGGCGATATATTGATTTGAAATGTCGCGTTACGTCACTTCTATGTACATTTTATACGTAGAAATGACGTTTTAGCCCCCACTCCTAAACTTTGATTCGTTTTATCTAATACGATGTTGACGACTATACTGCCAGTGTCGAGTGGTTACGCAGATTAAGGCACCGTCGAGTTTGTAAAAATTAGATTTACTGCTGCCCATTTCTCAGCAATTGGTGGCAGTT